ACGACATCCTTGTAGAGTTCCACTATCTTGAGGAACAAAGGAGGTTCAAGTACAGACCACCAGTTTTCTGTGCAGGAATGGCAAACACACAAATGTAGTATTTGCCAATACAACATTGGGTCACACCCTCCCCTTTCTCATTTCTAAATTTCTAATTCTCATTTCTAAAACAAAACTGGCATTACCAATCATCTAAGTGTGAGCATTAGCGAACTGCTGCAGCAGGAGAGGAAAATATTAGATAAAGACAAAACAAAGTTAAGAGAGCAGAAGCAAACGTGGGAGCTGCCTATCTGTAAACAGTGCTGGATATAGACACAGGAAGGGAAAAACAAGCTAGAATGGGCCACTGCTTTCAAGGAAACCACTTCCTCTTTTAATAAAGAACATTTAACACAGCAAGACAGCTACAAAATTTTAAGCAGAAAACTCTCGCACAAACGATGAATCCTCTTTCAAGTGTTCTGTTGTTACAGATCCTCTCAAAATTAAGTCTGTTAATCCACCACACTAGACTATCACGAAGCAAGTTCAGACATAAACCTGAAACATGTTTACTTAAGCAAACAGACCTACTGAGAACAAAGGAAACACTCTCACAAAAGGAAAAAGGGATGAATTACAAACAGAAGCAGAAAAATAAATGAGGGAGAAGTAGCTACCTTCAGAGAAAGTTATTATTTTAAGAGGGAAATATTTTAAGGAAATGTTCTGAAATCTCAGATTTCAAAATGCAGATGACAAGAGACACAATAAAAAGGTACAAGGCAGCTAGAATTATCCTAAGCTGCTGTGAAGGCCACATCTTAGATCAGGGAGAAAACTAGGACCTCACAGAAAAATAAGCAGGTGTTATCATCAAAACAAAGAATTTAATGTCCACTCTCTTAACCCTCTGGAAACTGCTGTATGACCACAGTCTTCATTTTAAAAAGAGCAAAGACACCAAACTATGTAGCTTCATTCCTTCCCAAAGGAATTAGTCTAGAGATTACGATATGAGACCGATTTGCATAGACTGCCAGGCAGCTCATCCAGAAAAAAAGAGAACGATGCTTTCCTGCACATGGAGCAACATTAGCTCTTAACTTTCTCACCAGAGAATTCTGCAGCACTGTGAATACAGAGCAGGTGCTGCTGAGAGTGTGCCTTCACTGGTGGAATGGCTATAGCTTTCTATAGCCTGAAGATTCTTAGTTTTAAGAGTGATGAATTAAAAATCTTACCAAGAACTTTTTGAGGAGCTTTTTCTAGGTTCAGAATAGCTGCTCCAAAAGGAATAGCTAACGTTGTAAAATTATTTGCATCACTCATCAGTGGGCACTCTGGTAGTGTGAGATACAGCCTCAAGGCTTCAACATCTGGTAAGGAGCTTGTCAATTTGGGAATGAGGTTCTTTTCCAAACTAGCTGCAACCTACAGTACAGAATGAAATTCAGTTTATTTCAATGCAATTACACACTTAAGGAAACCAACAAAATACACAACCTTTCAAGAAAAAGGTCTTAAGAGATCAGCACCTCAAGTATATGCTACGAAAGACTGATTTGATAATGTCACTGTTCATATCTGCACAGACACAAGGCAAAGCTATTTAGTACCTTTTCCCCTCCTAGATTAAAAAGTCTACAAAAAGTTTTGAACAAGGCAAATTTAGAAAACAAGACAGTATATTTAATATTAAAATGCAAACATTTACAATATGCTAATGATGTAACCCAACTGCTACAACATTATAGTTTTACCTACTTGTAGTAGAATGTGATTGTGTAAAGGAAGTTATTAAAAGAAAAAGGTCAGACCAAGTAGAACAGCTGCATTTCTGGATAATTGCAATGAAGAAAGACAATCTCAAACATCAGGAAAATATGCAGGGCAAACCTGTTGTGATATATGAGCATGGTCAGGCTGTATAAGTTTGTGAAATAGAAGTCTAGCAGCATTCATATCAACCCCTGAGAATCGAGCGCTGGTTTTGTAGTGATCGTCATTGCTGTAGCAAGAGGGAAAAAAAAAATATGGGGAAAATGATTGAATCTGTGCTTATGATTCCTCTCCATTTTTTTCACCTTTAATATTTAGTCCAATTTACTAAGGAATTGAAACATGAGAGATCCCAAGGCAACAGTTTAAAAGTGCTAGGTTTTACAATAAGCTATGCGATGTATTCCTCCTGGATTATATGCGATCTCCAAGAAGTAACAAGATCAGATCATGCACCAACAGCCAGAGGGGACATATTTTAGCAGACTAGTGTGAGATGCGCTGTGCTTGGGTGGGTGACAAATCACACCACAGTAGAGAAAGGCTCTATGAACAAGCTGGGGGTTATCAGAGTAATAGTCAGGTACAAAACTAGGGGAACAGGGTTCTAGCTGAAAGGAGCCGCTAGGAAAGTAGCTACCACTAATTCTTCAGCTCACAGAAATGATTACGAGCCTAACCACTTACCTTAAAGCCAAAAAGCTCCCATTCAGGCACCCAGCTGAGGAAAACGTTCCATCGATTTCACTGAAATTGTTCATATGAATCAAAATTATGTCTTGTAAGTTATCTTTTCCTTTTACAAATTAACATTTTTATAAAGGACTGAATTTAATCTGTAATGAATTGCGTTTCACAATAGAACGCAGCTAAACAGCTAAACATCATCAGATAAAACTTACATTCATGACTCAACACTTAAAGTTGTAGTACTCGTGTTTTGAACAGTCTTTCTTTCCTAATGAAATAAAGTTACTGATTTTCCTTTACGTTTACTGTTATTTTCTGAAGTGCAACCATACACATATCTTAATCCTGTTTAGAACGGTAATCCACACTGTGACCACGAGGACAAAGCGGGATCTAAACTGCTTCACGAGCAGCCCAACGAAAGTGTAGCAAGAGCTCCACACGAATGCACAAATCATGCACGCAATTATGCAGGGCTTCTTTCCTCGGCAGCACTTACTTAGCTATCTCTGCAGGAAGTCTTCCAGATGGGAAAGTCAACAACCTCTGAATAAATGCTTCATTCACAGTCCAAATCTGCTTCAAAAAGTCAGGATACCTAAAATCATCTGGTGGTACCATATTCTAAATTTAAAAAAAAGTGGAAGGTATTAGATGCACAAGTTTTATTTCCATAAAAGCAACCCCGTGTTTCAGCTCTTTATCTTTTTGTTAACAATTCACCTACTTGGACAATCATTGTGGAATAATCTCTGAGATAAATTTAATTTATTTAGCAGTTCTGCATTCACCATAACAGTAGAGTAAGTTAACACATACTAAAACCACCCAAATTAGTGTGTGAATTTGCACTACAAATTACTGCAAGTTGTCCTAAATAGACAACCACTTTTTTTTTTAGAATATGAATGCTAAATAACATGCATCAGACACAAGTACAGAGTGTCTTCTTTTCTTCCTCATCACTATCAGCCATTTAGTTCAGACTTCAAGCAAGCCAAAAAGGAGCCGTTCTGTTTTTTGGACACTGGCTCTCCTACCCCACTGCTCTCAAGAACAGAGACCTGTACCACACTTCTCTGATTATCTGGTGAGCTTCTGTTACATTCATACTGAATGAATGCCAGCAACGTATCTAATAGAGAGGAACAGACTGGAAGCAAGAAGTTCATTTTGAGTAGGAATGTTAGTTCAAAGAGGTGGAAAAGCTGCACCAAAAATAAACTACTAAAACGTGCATATTCCTCGAGACAAGTGCAGTCTGACAATAGAGCTGCCAGCCTAAGGATTACCAAAGTCTAATTCTGATCCTCTTCTCCAGGATGAAAGTGAGAAAGCCTCTTGCTGGCTCCCTTGTGGCAGCAGAAATATCATTTAAGCTCAGGGTGATTCGGGGAGCTGAACTGACCCAAAAACTAACTTGAGAAAACAGATTTTGTCTGTCCAAAGGCCCTGATCTGGCAACGACATACCTGTCTCAAGAGTATAGTACTCAAATAACTTTGAAAGAATCTGATATAAATTCCTAAACTAAGGAGTACTGAAGGGAACACTTTCACAGCATCGAAGTTCATCTATTGCTGATTCTCGTGTCCAAGTAACAACAACAGCAATCACACACAGTAATTGCATTCACATAGTCTCTACTTAACCGAGTCACTTAAGTGTATATTAAGCATATTCAGTCAAAATATACCTAATATTATGGAACTTGCATGAAAATCACATTTTAAAAGTTTCAATACACATTTTGAGTCTGCATTAGTGTCATTCATTTTTCCAATCTACTTTCTGTCAACCAGTTTTCCTCAAGGACAGAAATAGTTTACACAAAAACAACTGGAAGTATTGAAAAAAGAGAGCAAATTATTAGTGTCGTACAACCAGAAGAGGCCGTGGGAGCAAAAGCCTGCTAAAAGTTTTTCTGTATGCAGTTTTTCTTGATAACCAAAGAGTTATTAGGTTTCCCTAAAATTTGTTTTCTTTCACATCCAAATTTTTGTTTTCAAAAATTTTCAAAAATTTCTCTCTTTAGCTCTTGGTTCCTTTATTTGTCAGCAAGGTCTCAAAACACTGCTGACTATTAGAAATGGCCCTCAGACAACCCAGCTGACTAGCTGCACATTACTGTTTCTCCCAACCCATCCTCTTTCCTTTTCATCATCCTCTCACCTTGGCATTTTTACTATCAACTTTTCCTTGACTCATCACACAGGAGAAAAAAAAAAAAAAAAAAGCACTGTGCCAAAAACCCTCAAGGACTAACTGACTGTTAACACACAATAACTGGCTCTCTCAATTCAGCTTTGACAGACCTGGAAATCCATATGCATTTTAATGTGTTACCTGTGGATTAGAGTAGTGTGCAAAACTTTGGTCCCCACCAGAGAAAATTTTCTTTACACAGTAAAATTCCTCACTGTCTGTAATAAGATAACACACATGCAACTTAAATCAGAGAAACATCTGAGACACTGCAATCAGTATACTCAGTTAGAAAATGATTCTTTTGTTACATAATCTGGTTGCAAGGAGATCTCTGCAACAGTTTTATCCATCTTTGAGGTAAACATCAACAGCTCTCTGTTAGGTCTACCACTAACAAAGCATCTAACCCAACAGTAGAAATAAGTAATTTTAGTGAGCATTTCCCACAGCAGTAATTTAATTTAGGAAACAGAACATAGTGAAAACCAAACTGTTCAGAAGGTTACTATAGCACAGATTTTACATCTCAAGACTTGCAGAACATTTATAATAGAACACAAATCCAGAGAGTAATTATGCAAGGTATCCTTACCTGCAGTTAGTGGGCATTGATTAGTGTAAGGAAGCCAGTTTCCTTTTACTGTGAACGGACTTTTCCTATTACTTGTTGTTCCTGTACCTAACTGCCCATTACCTCCAAGTCCAAAAGAATATATTCTTCCAGATGAAGGAACAAATGCAGTAGTGTGCTGCCTAGGGGAATAAAGAAAGAAAGAAAGAAATCAGTAACAAAAGCCTTCATGCAAGCCAAACTAAGAATTTTGTTAAAACACTATGGTAAAGGTCCTGTAGTACCAAATATTCCACAGGGAATGCACTGTCACTAGCAATACTGCCAGTAGGCAAAATTTCTTTTTAAAGAAAAAATTCAGGATGTCACCTCAGATTCCTGCCTAGTGACAACCCGTCCTCTCAGGTACCATGGAACATTCTGAGCTTTGAAGTTTCTACCAGATGGGTTGAATCTCTTCTTTCAACTCTAGATGCTGTCTCTCAAACTTGGGAAGCAGCAGTACCAAATTAATGCAGATTACCAAAATGGAACAGATTCAACCAGAGATAACCAAACAACTAGGAAGACAGACTTGCATATATATATGTATACATATGCATGTGTGTGTGTGTATTTATATATATAAAAAACATTTTTAGTGTGTGCAAATATATAGCGTGCGTGTATATATACAATGTGTACACACACACAAAATGTTTTTGCCCTGTATTTATCTTCCTCCCATATTTTGTTTTCTTGGAATGCAATTCTTTGGACAAGGACATTTTCATCTGTGATGGAAATGTTTCCCACATTTCTTGACTGTTATTATAATAAATACAATAAAAGCCCACTAGGGACCAAAGTGAAGCACAGTATTACAGGTATTTCACAAAGGTATGTAATTTCATACTTATCCTCAGTGAAGTGCACATATCTCCCCAGATGCATTCTTTAACAGCAGATGAGTACAGGACAGAAATAATCAGTACCTAATTAGACACATTTTTCAGTTTAGAGACTCATGGACCTCAAATGGTAGAGCTTCCTTTATTTCTCCTACTTAATGCTTTAGAAATACCAGCGAAATATTTTTGTTAGAGACTATCCTATCTTCCCTTTCCCATTGCAATTAAAACAAAGGAATTGTTATTAGAATTACTTTCTATTATAACATATAAATAAATTATTTTGTATAGAATATAAGCTCTACAGCGCTAGAACAGAATACTTACCTTCCACAAGTGATTTGTGTAACAACACTTCCCATAAGTTCAAAAACCTTCCTTGGGTTTATCTCATGGCTGGTAGAGTTATGACCCAACTGACCATAGCCTCCAGCTCCAAATGTAAAAACCCCACCTTCCTAAACAAATAAAGTATTTGAATTAAAAGGATAGCACATCGCAGCACAAACAAACAAACTTATCAGAACTACAAGGTTCAAACAAATCTCCTTGTCTGATAGTTCTGGCATTGTGGGGAAGAAAGAAAAAATGCACAAGGGGACTCTGACTTACATAGGGCTCAAATGTTACCTGCAGTTATGAAAGTGTGGCACAGCTTTCAGGTATTACCTCACTTGTAAATCATATTCTTGTAAATTCCACATTACTATACAATACCCCTGACATTAACTTGCACAATTAACTGATACTAATCTTTGTTTTTCCTCTTCTCCAGTTTTCTTCATAAACTATAATGGCATACAAACTCAGACTATTAAAACATGTACTTTGGCTTTTAAATTCTGAATATAAAAATTACCAAATAGGAAGTTGCCCTTCTCAGACAGATGATGCAGAGTATGACTGAAATAATCAGCTTCATTATTTGAAAGCATAAGAAACCAGAAAAATTCAACACTGTTGTAAGGCAAATCATTGTAAGTGTTTTTGATATTTCTTTAAAAAAAAAAAAAATTAACCAAAAACTCTGATGGAAGAATGTTAAACTAGAAACATTTTTAAAAGTTGCACAACTTACCTTACAACAACTTTGAAACTTTCCATTTTCAAATGCTTTGCAATTGTAAAGCTGTTTCTTTCAGTCCTACTCTGCATCAGATTGGACCTCTGCTGGAAATCATCATTAAAATGGCAGCGTCCGCTGAGAAAAACCAACAATCTCATTCACTCAATCAGGATAACAAACAGTGACATGTATTTCTGAATTTTAGTAGGACTTGAAAAAACACACAGTATTGTGCGTAAGAGATATAAATAAGACCCCTCTATCATGAAAGGGAGAACGAGCCCACACAAATGGGTACACAAATAGTTCATATAATTTACAGTAAATTCAGTAACTTCTAACTTGCATTAAAGCTATTGGAATGGATTAAGTTATCTTCTACACACTTAAAAGGAACAAAGAATGCAAGTCATCAGCTGCTGCATTTTCTTTACATCCTCTATTTCCCTAATGTTGCACTATACCTCTGTATTCATTTCAGGATTACAAAATTGCAACATATCTTCTTCAGGCCAAGCAACAGACTATTTTAAGACAAAAAAAAAAAAGCAACCACTTTTGCAGTCTTAAGTGTAGAAACTTAAACTTACCAAAGCAACAAGAGAATGGCTACATAGAGCCAGACCTTCAAGCTAACTTCTCATTTGTTGCAGAGTAATAATCCAGACTCATATACTTTTAAAAAATGCACAATTTCCAGTAATAATTTCTCTTTGGAAATTTTGAATCCAACAGATTCAGAAATAAATCAAGTGACAGATATTTAGTCACCTTTCCAAGTGACAGATATTTAGTCATCTTTCTGAATGCTGATGAGAATAGTTTTCTATTAAGTTCAAAGCATTTTTTAATTGATGCATTAACAGTGCTTAACAAAAGTAAACATTGAAATATTAACACACTGACTTATACCTAAGTGCTGAAGTCTAATCCAAGCATCAAAACACTGCAAGAAAGGCACAGGAATCAACGGCTGAAAGTCACACACACAGCATGTGGCTATCCACAACAAAATAACAAAGTTGATTTTGATTGCTAGAGCTTCACATGCACAATCTTAGTGATGAATAGTGTAAGAAAGAGCCTTCACATTACACATTCTATTTTGCTTCTCTTCCTAATATTCCAAACCTTCAACAAAGGCTGCAAATGATGCATTTAGCCAACAGTAACATATATGGCAACTTTACACATTTCAGCTCTCCAGGAATTTTGATCAATCCCAGTGTTGCTGCAAGAACATGACACACTGTCACAGAATACATGCTTAGTCCAGGTTAGCCTTGAAATAATAGCCAATCTTTGATGGAACCTCATACTGAAAGTATTTTATTATGTTTACGAGTGGATTATGTAAATCTTCAGTTCCTTCTATTGGCTTGCCAATAGTACATAAGTAGGAAGTGCAGTTCAGTAAGAAAATCCTGAGCAATATCCTGTTCTTCCATGCCCTGTACCTAGAAGCATGTAAACTAGACTCAAATTGGTCTGGTCAATAACAAAACTAACAGTAACAGAGTCATGATGTTCAGAATACAGATAATACCTTTAATAGGTGCTAACATATATTTCCATACCCGTGCAATTTGAATAATGCAATATGCACACTTATATAAGCACCACCAGATCTGGTATGATCAACTTCACAAAATTTGGAAAAAAATCTAAAACTACAACGAGATTCCTTGTATATGATTTTTTTTTAAAACTATTTTACTATTCTTCTAACAGTGCCACAATTTAATCCACTATAGTCTGAAGAAAATAGACAAGGAATATACAGTATTTTTAGGAGAAAAAGCTACCCAAATAGTTAAAAATAAATAAATAAAAATCAAAGCATAGATATATCTTTAAACATTATACCTTTGTAAGAGCAGCAGTATGATCTTCTCCACAACATATATGAACAACTTTCTGAGTTCTCAACGACTTCAACAGAGTAGGAGCATATCTGTCTGAAAGGTTTAATACAGCAGTAAATTGCTTACTTCATAACTAAAAAATGAAAAGGCAAGTGATTTTATGCTCACTATTACAATCTAGTTCTATTAAACAAAATAAATATATATTTATTAAAGTAATGCAATTACAGTGACTATATTTGGGATGGAAATTACAAAGAAAGAAACATACTAAACTGAAATATTTCACAGAAAGCAGACTTATTTCTCACTAGCACAGGCTGGCACATCACTGTGTAAATCATGAAACACAGAACAGTACATTAGAACTGCTGCTGGCCATATGAGAAGGAAATAAATGACAGATCTTCTGAATGACACACTTCATGTTTTTCAGTTGTTCAGGAGTTGTTTAGTAATACTAAATTACAACCAATTAATACCCTGTAATAGAAGGGAAGCCTGTCTAATTAAGAGCACATGTGACCTGCCTTCAGTTACCAGAACAAATCAACTTTGCCATCCAGTTGCACAACAGAAACTTTGTAATTGTTAACGCTAATGTCTCTAGATGTGTCAAGGCACACAAAGACACGTGACAAATAACTTGTCCAGATATAAAACATGAATTTTACTAACAAGTGGTACTGTAGAAAAATTGGAGATTATACATATGCCCAGGAGAAGCAACTGAAGTTCCCATGTAAAGTTGCTTTCTGAGAACTGCATATAATTTTCTTACTATGAGTGTGCAACCAGATTTCAAGATTAATTCAGATATGCATTTTAATTGCCCTGCATTATCCTTTTTATAAACAGTTCTGAAAACAAAGAACCAATGAGAACACTACAGTCCATTAAACTAGCTATACATTATTCTAAACTACACTGTGTATTGCAAAAACATGACATTATAAACTCCCACATCGAAGAGGGCCTATAACTGGGATATCTAGCAAAGAAACAGTTTAATCAAGCCTAACTTTTGGAATTGTGTATGAGCTAGCAGTATCCTGAGAGAAGAAATTTTGGAAACAGTTAGCTGAAATTCATAAACGGTTATCAAAAGTAATCTGAGGGAAAATAAAGGCAGTAATAGGAAATAATAAACAATGGAGTTTCCTTAAATATGCCTTCTGATCAACTAAATAGCTTTGGTAATTATTGTTTCCATCATGCCACTTAATCTACCCAGTATTTAGTTCTAGTTTTAACTATTGCACAGCATCATAATTCAATCCAATTCAGAAAGTCAAAGTTACAGAAAAAATTGGGAAGGGAAAAGAAAACAAATCATGCAGGCTAGAATTTCAATGTAACACTATCAGAATTTATTACAAACAGTTGGTGGAAAAAAATGCATCTTACTAGTACAAGAATCGCATGACATGGACACTCAAACCATATTCAACAGAGGTTTGTTTGGCCTGCTCCTTTTCTAGGAACACTGCTATCTTCAGCTTCACAAATGGAGACTTTCAGCATTAATTATTTTACTAAAGCAATGATGCTTACCATTATCATCATTAAGACCCAACTGTCCAAATTTGTTTCGTCCCCATCCAAAAATGGCTCCAGAAAGAGTTAGTACAAAACTATGAGCTCCTCCTGCTGCAATTTGTGCAAAAGGGATTCCCAGCAGAGACTTAATTACATGTGGTGATGTTTGCTTTTTATATTCATAACCTAAACCCAGCTGGCCATATTTATTTTGTCCCCAGGAAAACACTTCACTACCTGTTTAAAGAAAAAAAAAGAAATATAGTAAATATAATTTAATCATATAAAATTGATTCCCTTAAATAAAAAAACTAAAAGCAAAAGTTAGAGAGCTACATACACCTCTTCAAATATTTTTGGAGTTAGATAATTTATCCCGAACAAGATTTATTCATTTTCAAAGGTTTACCTTCTACTATAATTTGCAGACATTCAACCAAAAGCTTTAAACAAACTGAAAGTATTTTAAACAAGCACAATTTGAAAGCCTTCAAGGCTATTCTTAACATTGTCAAATCCTCAGTACCTGCCAAGTGGCATTTGGTTATTATGAAGCAAGACTGACGCACTGAAAATTCTACTAGTACTCATACTGTGCTGCAAAAAATATGCTGAAGCTGCATTCAAAAATTTCCACTTACCATGCACTGAAGTGTTTATACATTAATGTATTTAAGTTTCATACATATTTTAAGTGCTGCACATTTTAAACTTAAGTATTGCATTAAAGACATGATCAATGAACACTAAAAAACAACTTTCAGAAGCAAGACTTCTGCAGAACAACTAAGGACAGGATATTAACTATCCTAAAAAATGAATACCTAATCACAAAGATATTTTGCTTTTTTTGTTGCTAATGTGATGAGTTTCTGTTTCTTCTACCTGCTTTTTTTTTAATCAACAAAAGTTTTATCAGGAGAAAAAAAAAAGCAATGAAGCTCATCTCCTAAGGTACAAACTATCTAAATTCTTCTATACATAAAGTTAAAAAAGAAGAACTTTGCAGCAAAGATTCTACGCCAATCATGCTTATAATCACATGAACTAAATCTGTCTGATCAATACTCCATATGCAGATCCAAAATACTATGAAGTCTCCTCTGAAGCTGCTCAATTTAAATAAGCCAGACCATTTTCCTTCCTCTGCAGAGCTGTTTTTTCAAAGCCATGACTGTGGCTGACTTTGCTACATTTCAAGTATCAGAATCCAGAGAGGTTCTCTTAAAACCATAAAGCAAAAGCACAAGGCAACTGACGAACAGGAACAGAGCTGCAAATCCATGAACTGGGAAGAGCACTCTTCCCAGTTGCTTCTCTTGAAGCTCGTGATTATTTAAAATATTAATCTGAATTCTAAATAAAGCTGCTACTAAATAATTACATTAAATCATAGCACTGCTTTGTTACTATCAACATTGTATTTGTGAGCTTAATCCACACGGAGTTATTTTTAAATATCAGTCTACATATTCACATAAGCAAAGGAATTCCACTAGGTTATAGTTGGCAAGGACACCCAGGAATACAGAATGCCACAGAAAACATTTTTTACACGCCTATGAACATGCCTATGTAAGTATGAGGACACATATGGTCAGTATAAACTATTAAAAATAAATAAAAATAGCAACAGTTCTGCAGCCACTTCTTATTACATGGAACTTTTGCCCCAGTTCAATTTCTCATGATGAAAGAAATGAAAGGTAAATTTATGTTCATCTTTGTTTCTCAATAGCTAAATAAATTAGACATGCAAAGCTGATGTGAGTGAAGCTAAGTATAGTCTCTGAGACCCAGAAAAGATTGAAGACAGAAATTTAAGTCTCCGAAATGTGAGCTACAAGAGGATACTCCATTTTATGGGAACACCACAAAACAGAATCTTTGTAATAGAAAAGTAGATGAGGAAGTAATTGCCTGCAAACCTCAGTAACTCCAATTACAGGCCAAACTAGAAGACTAGTGACAAAGTGTGAGACCAACAGGATGAAAAACAGATGGAATGAGAAATGAAAGAAGCTACAATGAATTTAAAAGGAAACCACACAACAGCAGAACAATAAAAACAACAAAAAGCATAAAAAGCAGAACAATTAATATTAACACACTCCATTTTTCTATAAGGAAAGGGAGTTTGTGTATTTTTTTCAACTGAAAATATTCATTATTGAATGATATTTCCACTGCCAATGTGGTATCATGCTTTAAAAGACATTTCCTTCAAAATGAATAAATAAATACTGAAAACTCTAAAAGTACTGAGCAGGAGATTACACAAGAGTTCAGAACAATCTGGCTTACCTTTTGAGAGTGCAAGTGAGTGATAATAACCACAAGCAACTTGCACAATTTGGATCTCTGATAAGCTTTTAATATTTCTATTGGGGTAAGAAAACAGAGAAAGAATTAAGCTACTAGGTCACGGTATAAAGTAGAGTCACGTGAGAGGATTACACAAAAAAAAGTGAATCTTTTTCACTGAAGTATGAAAGTAATACAAATATTCTAACTTATATTAAAAGCTATTTAGTAAAGTTGCAAGTCTGAAGTCAAAGCTTCTTTGCTAGCTCCTCTAAAGACTAGGCTCTGTCTTATTGTTCAATTAATGAAGTCAGTAAGAAATCATTATGAAGAATCAGGGAGAACTGCCTTCTTTAGAGACACTAGGAAGGAGATGTCAAACAGCTGAATGGAGAGAATGAATACTAAAATCAAGAATCAGGAGACATTTACTTTCTAGACTTCAGGGGGAAAAACGGCTTTCTAGTGTACTACTATTTCACCTTGATATTAGATATAACAAATTAAATATATTATGTGCAATTTGATCAAAATATATTTTTTCCTTCCACTAACATTAACCTCAAAGGAATCAAAACTTCAACTTACAGAGCTAGCAATAAGCATTGTTCAAGTTCACAATTTCATCAGGAAGTTGAAAATATTTGCAAAGGTGCATGGAATGAGTATACAATATAATAGTATACTGTCAGCTTTTGATGAGAAAAAAAAAACAGAAGCCAGTAAAAGCCTTTAAAAAGGCTTTTAAATTTGATATGCAAAAAAAAATCCGCTCTACTTTAGTTATACATTGTTTACATTCCTACGCATCACAAATAGCCTTGCTCAAGTTACAAATGACTACTGTTCTGAAGAACTTTTTCTTTTCTGTATAAAAATACTAAGGAAATTAGAAAAGAAAACCTCCAACTTGCAAAGATACAAAATTCACTGGTACAAACAATTCTACAGATGTCGGCTTTACATTGCAGTAAAGATGGGTGCCTGCTGGAGTTCAGTTTGCTGGCATGCTTACTGCATAGTGCAAATACTGTATCAGATAAAATTCTTTAGAGCTGTACAGCAAACAGGCTAGCATTCACTTTCAGAATTTAGAGACTACGGTTACATTGCAGGTAAAAAAATGCTCAGGGTGCAAATTATGGTATGAAGACCAGAGAGCAAATGGCCTTCGAATGTAACCTAAAGGTAATGAAAGTTTAATTCTGCTTCTCTAACTACTAAATGTCAGTTATTGATCCCCATTTCTGTTCTTAAAATACTTATAGTATAATAATAATCAGGCTATGGCAAAAAAATGTCATATCCCAAGTACACTTTTCTAATGTTTGTTTTTAATTATAACAGCAGAATAGCTTGGTCAGTGGGATTTCAGTTCATTTTTTCCAAACGTGGTAACTTTATTATAGGCTTGTTTTTTTAACCTGGGTACTCTGACGCACTCCTCTGTTCCAGGCAAGCCAAGCTGTCCATCAGTAGCCAAACCCCATGCATATACCTGACCCTTGTCATTTAATGCGAGCGTGTGAGCTTCTCCACATGATACAGCTACAATATTTTGGGCATCCAGTGCACCAACATGCTCTAGAGAGGGAAAAAAAAAAGAAGGAAGAGTTAATCATTAAGAAAAAAAAAAAAGAGATACTAAAAAGCAAATTCCATTCGTCACGGCTCATAGATATTTGTCTACTAAGGTATAAAATGAAATCACATGAATGAGTCTAGAAGCCTGCCAAAATATCATATATCTAAAGTCATATGCATGCTATCCCAGGAAAAGTAGATTAAATTTGATGTACTAAAGTAATCCAACAACTTTACCTATCCGTATGCACCAAAATTTTTTAAAAAATGCAACAAAACCTGCAATTTGATCATAACGGTTTCTTCTAACCTTGACATTTAAAAGTGAGCGCACAGACTCAATTAAAATAATTATCAAATGTTGCGTGTAGACATTATGCAAGAGGAAAACATTCCACAACAGTGACTTAAGCTCACCTATTAATTAATTAAAAAAACAAACCTACAAAACAAGGAAGGGAAAATTAAAGACTAAAGCCACTGATCTTGCAATGAGCTACACAATGTTCTCTTCATGATGCAAAATGCTGTAGAAACCAATCTTAAAGGGGAAATCTTCTAGACATGCAATGCACATCTCTGCAAAGCAAATACTACAGGATTGTGATTTCTCCCAGTAGTCTGCATCAATACCTTTAAATTCATTTGGATGAACTCAGGCTTTGTATTTATGCTTATGATTTGTGAACAGAAATCAAACATTTTCAATTCAGCAACAGTAGAGGCTGAAAACACCAGTCTGTCACTGAGGCAGGAATTTTCAGAGTTCATTTAAACAAGTGCTTGCTTGGATGTTTTATGCTTAGTTTTCAAACATGTCAAATTCTATTTTGCCTTAAGAATCACACAGCACTGAAAAAGCCTGTGTATCATCAATGTAACACAGACTGTAAACATAGCCTAACATAGCCTAAGTCCATTTCAAAACAGTAGCCAACCAGATCTGCAACATGCGTATCTGCAACTCAGTTTCCAAAATAAAATAAAATAACAAAAGCAGTGAACACGCACACAACTCTAGGGCCTGCTGGGCTCTTTGAGGAGGAAGGAGCCACAGCTGAACAGCCACTGGTGGGATTTGGCAAAGATGAGCACTGGAGCACTGCCCAATGTACCTACTTCACACTCATTCAGCAAAATTGTCAATAATCTCCAGATAGAAGTAAAAATAGGAGGCTACTGCAATTCTCATGACTGTTATGTCTGAGCACTTTAAGAAATATTTATAGCAACTACTTGTCTATTACACAGGAAAGCCCAGAGAAGCCTGACATAAAACAGGGAAGAAAAAAGAAAAAGGTTCTCTACTGTAATTTTTAGATTAAAAAAGAAGTATCATTTTCAAAGAGGGTTACAAGTATTTAAAATTTATTAAGAGTTACTTCCACAAGTTGAATCCCTGTGCACATTCATGAAGCTGACATTTAGACAGGATTAAAGTTTACCACTTCTAATATCCCTTTACTGGTGAAAGTCAAGATTAGTTTCAAAAGTTACACATCAACTATGCAAGAAAAACTCTACTTGACACCAAATCTCAAACTCTGAATAAAGGATAGCTACTAAATTATTAATATCAGAAGGGTAGAAATAGCCCGGGGAAGACAAAAAAAATTTAAAAAGTATTGTTTCAAATTGAATGTTTGCATCTATTACTGCAACAACTGACTTGTAATACTGGTGTAAGAGATATTATAATAAACTATTGCTAAGGCTTTTCAGTTTGCTTTCGTTATGCTCTCAGTAGTGCCAGGAACACCATTCCCTGCCTCTCAGTAGCAAGCAGCTATGACTCACATGCACAGCTCCAATGGAGCCCCTGTGCACCCTCCTCTGCAGTCCCCACAAGATGCTTACCCACTCCTGCTAGAGAGCAGCACTAGCAGCAAGCATGAGTATGCACACCACATACATAAGAAAGAAAAAAAAAAGTGACCAAAGAAGTCTTAATCTGCATCCTTTAGTCTTATCCAAATACAATTCCTCTAATGGTGTCTATGCTTTTTTTTTTTTTTTAAATCAGAAGTTTTTTTATTTCTTTTAAAAGAAAAAGATAAACAAAAACACATAGCACTTTTCCCAACTATGGTGACCAAACATTAATTCCTACCATCCTCCAACAGCCAAAAATATAATAGAGTCCAAAAGAAGCCCATGTATTGAAGTGAATCACCACCCCTTGGGATTAAAACAGTCAATGATTCCCCACAACCTCGGATAATGTGAATTCACGGTGAAAACAAACAAACAAAATAGTAGCAATGTCCAGCCACATGATGAGCAAAAATTTGGGGGCATGTCCACTTCACAGTCAGCTGTTTCCAACTGTCATGAGATGAGATCCAAGCAATAGAATGTTTTCAAGCAAAAACATGCCATTCTTGAAAGAATACCATGTGCACAATTCAGCAGGTGCATGAACTGCCAGTGCTTGTAGCACAACGCAGTGGAAGATACCTGCACAAATACATACACACATGCTCCCCAGGGCAATCCCCCTGCACTTACCAGGTCGCTTCCTGGCTTTCTCGTGCCCTAGTTGTCCTAGATCGTTGCAGCCACATGTATAAACTGTCCCATCATCCAGGACAAAAACAGTATGTCTGAGTCCACAGCCCACATCTCGGACCCTTTTATTTAAGAAAAAGACACTTTTGCGGGGTTCTAAAACAATCTCTTCATCAATTCCACCCAATCCAAGCTGTCCAAATGACGCGTTTCCCCAACACAACATGTTTACACTTCTCTTGATCAGAGATCTTCCAGCTTCACTTTTCTAAAATTCCCCTTCTGTGTAGCTGTTCAGAGAAAGAAAAACAGTACAGTTTTTTTCAGTATTGCATAAAGTCTGTCATCTCCTATACAGTCTACTATCCACAAGTTTCATTTTTATATACTAAGACTTGAAGCAGTGGAAGATTTCAGAAAGTCTAATTTACTTTCTTAGGCAACATTTACATAAATTCTGAAGCAGATGCTTTTACATAGGAATTCACATGGGAATTTTAAACATACCGGTCCTCAGTTTTATACCTTTGAAAGTTTTAACTTTAATTATCTTCATAAAACTTCCTTAATCCCCAGTTCAGAAACATACACCCTACTCCACCCAGTGCAAATGACTTCAAATGTCTTTTAATGAGTCAGTGCAACTTGGGGCATGGTAAAGCAGAGAGCACCATGAGCGGCTTCCAGAAGTTCCCTGAAAACAGCGCTTGACTCGCAGCTTGGAAAAAGTTGGTCAATCCTGATCAAACCAGTTACGCAACACATTGAATAAAATGATGCGTCACTCAATGCATCTAAACAAGTCTGAGTCAACCAAACTTGCAGTTAAAAATAAACAGATAAGTAGATAGCTAGCTGCAATGCAGGCCCCAATCTGCACTGCAATCAACAGAGACACCTCTGCAGGTAATAGGCACACAAACTCGTGCATGCAAACACCGCTCGTAGTGCCTACAACACCGCTTGTGAGTGCTTGTGCCCACAGACTTTGCACCCATTCCGACAGGATAAAAAGCTATCTCTCCCTTTCATTTTCAGTATGCAGGATTACAGAGTACCTGTGACGACATTCTCAGTATTACTTACGCCACACTTCCGCAACAAGTAATTTCCCTGTATTTTAGTGGCAATGCAAGAATCAGTGCAACACAACGTAAAATTTTTACAACATTTCAGTCAGTCACAGTTAGGAAGGCACGTAGTGTAAAACACACTGCATATACTGCTAACATATTCAGTCATGATATATATAAGGTAAATAAATATGAAAGTGCTCATAAGAACCTGACAGTATTTCACTAAAGTGTTATGAAACACTGAATGGCATTTGTTTTTTTTGTTGTTGTTTTTTTTGCGAAGACAACAGGATAAAGTATTTTTCTTTATAGAAGTTTTTGCAGTAATCACGATGCCGGCTTTCATGATCTCATGCAAAAAAACAAACAAACAAAAGCTAAGCAGCTTAAAATATATTGCATTTAAGTTTACCTATCTCTGGACACGATGCATGATCAAATACTTCTCTAGTTATTACTAGGTATATCCTACCACATTCAGACAGGGATATCAAAAACGAAGATGTCTTTGGCTAAGACACAGCTACGTAATAGCAACCTTCATGCGTCCAAAGGAGTGGCAGCAATGCAGGCTTCAATCTGCAACACAAGAAGTTAAAACAGATTTAGGATTACAGTCCTTCAGGATCTCCAGAGTTGAGATCTAGCTCCAGATGGGGGGGTAAAAGAAAAGGAGGTCACTTTTCTATGGAAGCAGATGTATTGTTCCCCAGCATAAGTTTGTTTTGCTGTGTGTTTTTCTCTTTTTTTTAAAGCCAGCATCCGAGGAAGTTTCACACTTCGATCTCTAGTCCAGCCGGTGCTTTTCCCTTCTCGCAAAGGCTACTTCTTGCCGTCAGCTCTACGCACGACGCCGCCACCGCCGAGCCTGGTTGAAGGAAGCCGCCCAACTCCTTCCCCCCGGGACAAGGCGAGTAACGGGGCCAAAGGAAGCGCCTGGATGTTTCCCGTGCGCCGGCGCTCGCCGTGCGAGGCACGGCCGGCCCCGGGCG